CCAGCAGACAATGAAGGGCAGGATTAGCAGACTCATCCTTTCAAATCAACCACGGTTGAGTCCAGGACGGGGCAGCCTAACAGACGCACAGTTTACGCCTGTTCTGTCTATTAGTCCGTAACTGCCGACAGAGGAACTTCCGGACACAAAGAGACAACGTGGGCTCCAGTTGTAATTGCTGACAGCTTTTTGTATTCTGTTGCCTGATTTCAAGTAGTCAGGAAGCTAGCTAGGTCGCTTACACCCTGTCTGACTGGCCCTGGGGTTTGAAAGAGAGGACGTCAAACGAAACAGTGATTGTGGTGGAAACCACCTCTCGTCAGCGGTTCTAGTTAATCCCGTCGTTTACCTACCCACGCGAATGGGTTGTTCTAGCATACACAGCAGGCATATGGAGAGAACTAGGCGTGGATCAGTAAATCACAGAACTCCAAGCCAATTAACCGTTGCTCTGTCTAGATACAAAGACCTTACGAAGCTAAAAATGACGGACTTTTTGGGTATTCATGAGTCAAAAGTGGTGGTGGTGGTGGTGGTGGAGGAGGAGGAGGAGGAGGAGGAGCGGGAGGAGGATCAGGAATGCATGTGGTACTGGCGAACCCTTCTTGACGCTGAAGCAGTGCAAGGCTGGGCAGTCGGTCACGACTGCTACTCCCCGATACAACACTGCCCAGTGTAACAGAGTAAGCCAACGTAAGACAACGGAGACCCAGCGTGCTGCGAACTGTTGGACTCCAGAGTCGCGCCTGAATGTCAACAGTGCCATCGCCTGAGACATCGTCAGAACGGCTTTCTGCATCCGGATCTGACACCCAAGAGGATTCGGCGTCCGAATCTTCATCCTCCTTTTTGGCGGACTGATCTAGTTGGCTGGCCGACAGGCAGAGTACGGGCAGATGACCAACATTCTCCGAACCAGGCAGTTCACGACGAATACGCCAGTGACGCTGCCAGTTGTTTGCATCGTTCTTCCAGCCACAGGTGTTCTTATCAAACCCACAGACCGCTTTCGGGTGCGGAGATGGCACTACGAGAGACAGAGCGGGGAGTTTTGTGTGAGAGAGAGGTTAACCTCGCTGGCTCGGTTAAACGTCGCTCTAAGCAAAACCGCTAACTTCTAGCCCTCTCTGCCGGCCTCAGAGTGGCCACTGATAGGTATTGTGGGTGGAGGAACAAGGTGGTTTGGAGGGGATAGGTTAGAACTGTCTCATTATATGCACCCGTCAGCACGTTGGAGCAGAGTCAGACCAAAATGCTTTGGCGAGCGCGAACCCGTTCGCGGACTCCCGAGGTGAGCGAAGTAGACAAATCTGAGACAGCGTAGACCGAGACTAGCAGGCACCGGTGGGCTCCAGATACGAGCCTGAATCTCACTAGCCGCACGAATCACAGAGCTGCTGGCCGACTGCTGGCTCGGAATGGCTAGCCAGGAATCAGCACCCGAGTCTTCTGACCGCGTAGCAGGCGCAGGGGTCGCCGAGAAACAGAGGATGGGATAGTCCACAGAGTTGGTGCTCCCCACCGTCAGCTGGGGTAAAGGTTGGCGATGGAGGGCCCATCGACATCGCCAGTCATTGTTATTGTCGTTGGTCCATCCACACGTATTCTTGTCAAATCGACAGACCGCCTTGGCACGTTTGTCCAGTTCTGCAGGCAGGGAATAAGGGGGAGGACAGAGGAGGGAGACTCATCCATCCAGATTCTTCCTCTAAAGCTCTGTCTCAGCACCAACCGCCCGGAGGCGGTTAGGTTGACTGTCACAGGTAAGTGATGATGTGAGAGAAGAATGAGCGAATTGAGATACCTTTCTTATCCAGTCTACAATGCTCGGCGGAGGTCAGTTGCATTACCACTAAGCATTGCAGACCCTCAATCTCTTCGATAATTGAGCAGTGAAAGGCGTGGTATTTGAAGAAGTTAGGTATTTTCACGTCAACAGCGATTCTTGGGTGACATCTGCTGATACTGCCGGCCTCTTTGTGAAACAGTGCGAATCGTCTCCCACTGCATCGATTGGAAGTCGACAACAAAGGCAGAACTTCGATGCGTTTGAAATTTTATTGTATTTTTGCAATGAACGACTGAGTTTAAGAAGCGTTTAGAAAGCTTCTCTGGCTCGATCAGAGTGGAGCCTTCTAAGGCCGGAATTGACTTCCTTAGCGCCGATCGCCAACAGGATCCATAGGCGGTAACAGAAACGAACTCCTGAATTAAACTACACGCCCAAGCGTTGTGTCCCGTCATTCTACATTTTACAGTCCGCTACGATAATGCTGATGGAGGATGTTGACAAAGCCGACTTCGGAAACCAACTCTAGGCATGGGTTCAGCTGCTCTAAAAACCCAATGATTACGGCAGTTTCGGAATGGAATATGCCGTTTCTGTTTTAGAACAGACGATGATGCTATTTAACCCAGACGTGTCGCTGAACCCCTCCCGCGCCCCTCGTACTAGGGTGGGTAGGCTGGACATAACGCAGGAAATTGTGGTGATGACAATGTGGTCCGGATATGAAGACAAGGAATAAGCACCCGTCAGCCTGTTTTAACAAAGCCAAGGCAGACGTGGTCAGATTGGAGGGCTTGCGCAGACGCGTGGATGTCGGTTGATCTAAATGAGCATAGGAGAACTTGAGGCAACGCAGTCCCAGTGCTGCCGGTACGGTGGGACTCCACAAA